TGCTGTCAAATCGTCTGAGGTGCTTTCCATGTGTTTTTTTAGCATGAAGCAACAACACAATGACTCTTTCTGGAAACCCACACAAAGATAAAATTAGTGAGGTTACCAAAAAAGTGGCCTAATCTTAGCATGACAAGCAGAACAAAAAAAAGAAATGGGCGGAGTCTTCGATGAGATGTTCGCCTCTGATGAGGTAAAAACGGATACTACACACTTATGCAGCGTAAAGTCTCTTTCAAGTCTTTATGATTGCGCACACAAATTACTGTTCATTTATTGGCCCATCGGGGGCCCCTGAGAAGACCTGCAAGAAATCTCCTTCATTATTCCAAGCCGGTTCGCTGGCAAACAGAGTCATATAGGCAGCAGTTCTGGTGGACTCTCACCATAGCAGTACTTCGCCTGCGGGTTTCTGTAGGTGTTTTCATGTTGGACGCTCTAAAACAAGACAACAGCAAGTGGGATTTAGTTCTGCCTGCTAAAACATGACATGAGGAAAAGCTCTAAATGACTGGCATAATCAACATCAACATGAAATACTCCAGTTTAAGCAGAGTATTTTTATGCATTCTGGTCTGGAACGCCACAAACAAGCTTAGGGTCTCTTAACTAGTTGCTTTTTAGCATGCATATTACTAGAATATTAGCCATTTATTAGTACTAATTAAGCACATACTAATGCCTTATTCTACATGACCTTATTCTACATCCCTAATCCTACCCAATACCTAAACTTAACAACTACCTTACTAACTATTAATAAGCAGCAAATTAGGAATTTATCGAGGGAAAAGTCGTAGTTAATAGTGAATAATTGTTCCCTATTCTAAAGTGTTACACGTGACGCTCACCTGTGAGGAAGTACGACACTTGGCAAGACACAACTCAAAATGATCTTCCACGGCGGTGAAGAGGTTCTGGAACCCTTCTGCTGCTCGGTTTAGAAAATGCTCCAAAAGAGGTTGCTGATGGAAAGAGAGAGAGTTTATGTCAGAGGGGAGTTTCCAACAAAAGTGGCCTAATTTTGTATTCCAGTTAGGTGGTACCCTTTTTTTTTTTTTTTTGCCAGAATAGTCATCAACATAAAAATGCAACATTCATTTGTAGCAGTTTTGTCAAACAGACTTTTACATCATTTCAACTGCACTCGTTAACATTCGCTTGTGTCAAGTATGTATATATATATATATATATATATATATATATATATACATTTTACCAAGAAATTGCATAATAATGCATTCAAACTAAGGAACCAGTCTTCTTTTGTGGCAACGCCACAACATGTTGCAACACATTTCTGTTGCGCTCACTATACGGAAAATACAAACCACAATGAGTCTCAATATTTTTGAAGTGGCATTTTACAAAAAGACTGGATACTGTATGACACTTCAAGTGACCTAGTGACCTGTGCTGTTTGCTACAAGTGGAAGGAATCAAAATATTGAGAAAATCGCTTTCAAAGTTGTCTAAATTAAGTCTTTAGCCATGTATATTACTAATCAAAAATTAAGTTTTAATATATTTACAGTAGGAAATGTACAAAATATCTTCATGGAACATGATCTTTACTTAATATCATAATGATTTTTGGCATAAAAGAAAAATCAATAATTTTGACCCATACAATGTATTTTTGGCTATTGCTACAAATATACCCCAGCGACTTAAGACTGGTTTTGTCTATATATATATATATATATATATAGTTCCTGTGACAATGGCTTTATATATATATATACATTCTTACTTCACCTGACATCAAGTTCACTTTAGACCCTGATTACAACCATTCAAGTAAAAACACTCATGACATCCATCACTGTAAACCCTAATGCTCAGAATAATTAATTGGTAGTTGGTAATTGGTAATGAATTAATTCCTATTGAGTAGGACAAACTTAAAATTAAACAAATTAACCTTGATGAGTATTCATAAATTTCTTTCGGGTTCATGAAATTGACCCATTTTAAGTAACCTGAATTGTTTCATTGTTTTGAATTTAATGAACTTGTTTCTTTTAATTTAGAGGAGCTTACATTTAACTGAAACTGGGCAGGGGGGTTTCTATTACCCACCATGCTTTGTATCAGATAATATATTTAATGTAATTTTGAGTTCTGCTAACTTATTAGGGTTAACAGTGTCCTCAATATTTCAAGATAAGAGAACTTAAAGTACTACAGTTTAGACACCCTGAATGATTTGTGTAATAACATAAGATAAAGATATGTTGTTTGAAGTACCTTATCCGGTTGGAGGCAGCAGGAAACGCAGTACTCATAGATGCTACAGCAGCCATTGGCCAGACAGCTTGTACAGACATGCTGGCTTGAGCTGGGAGCATTAACATTACAACATCCATTCACCAGTAAATCCTTCCTCTCACACACATAACCTGCAGAGACAGAAAAGTCTGTATTAAATTGAACATTGGTTACATGTGAATACACAAAAGAATGAGCTTTATTGCCAGGTATGTTTACACATACGAGGAATTTGTTTTCGTGACAGAAGCTTCCACAGTGTAACAGAATGACAGTGACAGAACAAAAAACACAGATAATAAAAAAATAAAAATAAATAAAAAATAAAAAATGAATAATCGAAATATCGGTGAAATATCTTGTGGTGTGTACTACCGAATGTCCAGCAATTAGACTCTGGTGAAACTGATTGCAGGGATATAACTAAAGACAGGACAAACTAACAAAAACATAAAAACAACTGCGGAGCACGCCACGGAGGCAGCCATCATCGTCGGCGCCATCACAAGAATATGCTACACAAAAAAAGCTACACAAAAGGGACCTGTTAACAGTTTGAGCTGCACATTCAAGCACTGTGTGGTTAGCAATTGTGTGCTGTGAACCCAAGTTACAATTTAACCAATTTGTCCCGATACTTTCCTGTCACTCTCCTTATTATCTACTTTCATATGCTTCCGCATAAAAAGGCAAAGTGCTCCTGCCAAAGTAATAATAATCTTTGCAATTGCTACACCCCTGTATATGCCTCAAATTATTACAATTTTACCACTGTAAAGGTTTGTCTTGTGCCACTCAGAAATTTTTCCTATTAACCAGATGCACTAATGCTATCACCTTGTGAAACTATAGTTATAATTAACCACATTTCCTGCCCAAATTTCATTATCACAGCATTAACAAAATAATTCTCATTACTGTATATGAAAAAAAAAAAAAAATGGTTGATTTTAAGATAAGACACTACATGCAAAACATGCATTTTTTATACATGCATTCATATGCAGTTTTTCAGGCACTGATCAATTTTGAGATTTTAGGCTATTTTGCTTACATAACTTGTCTTTTTTTTAAATAGTAGAAAGAAAACAATTAAAATACACCTTTAAGTTTTTCATTTAATTTTATTACACACATCCGTAGATTTTAATTACTATACATATCTTTAAAGGCCATTTTCTATCATGCACTGAGCCAGAAATGTCCACTTCAGCAGCACTTGCATACACCAAACTTTACACTTTTATTCATATCTATATTCTGAAAGTTTTTACACTGGGGTTTATTAACAGATAATTTACCTGAAATATATTGAACATTTTATCCCCATCACTTACCCAGTTCATCCGTGAGAAGGCTCTTTCCCTGAATGGAGTTTCTGCACTGTGAGATCTGCCTGCTGCTGTTGCCCAAGATGAACTTGATCTTCCACTGGATGTGATGATCCGAGTCCCTCACCTCCAGGAGGGTCCGATCACGGATGGTTCGCTCCTCCTGTACACAGTACATGTCACATACAAAACGTCATTCCTTTGACATTATATGCTTCATCACCTCTCAGCATATCGGTGATCATTAGTGTTTTATTGGTATCATCAATCCAATTAGAACAAGATTGGAGCACTTTTTTCCATAAATTTTATTCGTGCCAATATTAAAATAAGTGTTTGTTTAAGATTGTGCACAACGGTTCACCATTAAACAGTTACATTATGTTTTCAAACTGTGTAATTGGAATAAAATGTAATATTTAACGGTCAAAAGTTAGTTAAATGTTTTTGAACAAAGTCTCTTCTGCTCACCAAGGCTGCATTTATTTGATAAAAAATACAATAGAATGGTAATATTGTGAGATATTATAATTTAAAATAACTCTTTCCTTTTTGAGTATATTGTAAAATTTAATGTTATTTCCTGTGAAGCAAAGCTGAATTTTCAGCAGCCATTACTCTTCAGTGTCGCATGATCCTTCAGAAATCATTCTAATATGCTGATTGCTGCTCAAGAAACACTTATTAGTATTATTATCAGTGCTGAATTATTGTATTGTTTTCTGCTTATGGAAACCATGATACACTACCAACCATTCAAAAGTACAATTAATACTTTTATTCAGCAAGGTTGTGTTAAATTGATGGAAAATGACACAAATAACATTTATAATGTTACAAAAGATTACAAATAAATGCTTTTTCCAAACCTTCTATTCATCAAAGAATCCTAAAAAAAAAAAAGGAAATCCACAAAAATGGATTTTGAAAAAAAAAAAAAAAGAAAAATAAAAAATCCAATATGAGTTTTAAAAACGGTTTGATAATAGTAAGAACCATTCGGAATAATTTATCATCAATAATAATTGAGCAGCAAATCAGCATATTTGAATGATTTCTGAAGGATCACGTGACACTGAGGACTGCAGTAATGATGCTGAAAATTCAGCTTTGCATCACAGGAATAAATTACACTGTAAAGCATATTTCAGTAGAAAACAGTTATTTGGAATTGTAATAATATTTCACAATTTTACTGTATTTTTTTTAAATTAAATAAATACAGCCTTGGTGAGCATAAGAGACTTGTTAAAAAAAAAATCTTGGTTCCTCCCAGTGTAGACACAGCAGCATCAACAACACTACATACCTGTTTGAGGGTGCTGGAGAGAAAGTAGATGAGCGACAATCCGAACACGACCCCCAGAACCCAACGCTTGCGCAAGAGCCGGCGGAACACCATGGAGGCGTTCTTATGGATGTGCACCAGGGCCAGGTAGATGCGATGGAGCTAAATAGACAGCACTGGCGATCTCAGACAGAGAGATCCAGCTGGTTCACTCAACACAGCATCTCTTGCATCACCAACACTCACTGTCACTGGCAGCGATCGGATGGAGAATAAGTTACGTATTATCCGACACAGGCCGCCAACAGAGATCGATTACTGTCGTAAGTTGTCAAACAGTGAGTTTTATAAACATTTAATCCATTTTAGGCATGAAATGTTCATTAGGAAGATTATACATTGGTATGTCTTGCACTGACAGATGGAGCTGCAAAAACAAACAAAACCAGACTGTTATCAATTCGATTAAAACGTGCGCGGTGTTAACTTAATTAATCGATTCTAATCTTCGCTGGTATATTTAAATAATAAGATTAGCAGAAATCAAGCCGCACAACAACAGCTCTCTCCATGCGGAAATGCGGAGCAAACGAGCGTCGTGATTGGCTGCCCACCGTGTGTACTTCCGGAAACAAATCGGTTCACATCCGCTCTACAGCCGGCATCATTGAGTGATGCTTTCACATTTCTGAGGTTTATGGTCAACATTATTACAAAAAACAGCGTTTAAAGCGTCGTTTGTGCGTGTCTGTTGTAAGCTAGGATGAAGGTAAGATAATTCTGCTCGTTTCTTTGACATTAGATGGGCGTTTAAATCGAAAAAAAGCACTATTCAATATTCAAAGGCTCATGTTCATTCATGACATGTTCCAACAATGTAGAAATATTAGTTTGTCATAAAATAATATAGTTACTATAGTTAATATTACTACACCGCTATCATAAACAATTAACAACATGGAAAATTAAATAAATCTGTGAAACTGGTTACCAGAGTAAAGACTTTTTCTTTCTTTCTTTCTTTCTTTCTTTCTTTCTTTCTTTCTTTCTTTCTTTCTTTCTTTCTTTCTGTGACCTTTATTCTATCTGTCTGTCTGTCTGTCTGTCTGTCTGTCTATCTATCATCTATCTGTCTGTCTGTCTGGTACCGCTACACACACAAAACATGGCAAATAGCCAAAACATAAATAGCCAGGTGTCTTGTCTGTCTATCTATCTGTCTATCTATACACAATTACACATACATATGTTCACACAGACACGTGCATGTTATGATTTATCGTTCTTTCACCCAGTAATGATTAAATTTGTGTCAACATTTACGCACTTCTGTCTTTTGAAATGCTTATGACTTTCTTTCTTCTGTGGGACAGAATAGGAGTTATTCATAGTTGTGTCTAAGCTGCTCTTTTCCATTAAGTGAAAGAGAAAGGTGACTTTGGATGTCAAGCAAGATTGCCAGTGAAGAATGAAATTTCAGCCTGTTCCTCATACAGAGATATCATGTAGACTAGGAATTAGGGCTGCACGATAAATCGCATGCGATATTTAACGCGCATCTTGTCAGAAAGCCGGTTCTGTAATCAGCGGTAAATCTCCATCACCTGATATATATATATATATTTCATAATCTAAACATTTCCTATTGCTTATGTGTCACAATATCCTGTTGTGCTGTGTAATTCCATACAATGTCCTTTTGCACAATTTAATTGTAATCGTTTTATGTACATATACTTTGAAACGCTACAATTTTTTCATACATTTTTCATAAATCTGTGTTTCTTTTTGTTTCTCTCCAGTTTTGGAGCTCCTGGTGATAAAGTGGGTGCCATGCAGAGACGCCACAGCAGCAACACTGAGGGCATGCCGCCAGAAAGGTTGGATTTCACTCATCTAATCTAAACATGTTTACATTTTTTAGTTTCCCATCCTACTGAAAATTATTTTAGTTAACCATCCTTAGTTAACCAGCTTCACCAGTTAAGTTGCTGAATGCATGGGAATACCTGCATTTCAATCACTGAGCAAGTACACATGGGAAGTGAGAAATTAGTTTGAGAGCGATTAATATTGTTACCTTAGTTGCTTAAACATTTGAAATAATTTTGCAATGTTTTTGAAAGATGTCTCTTATGCTCACCAAAGCTGAATTTATTTTATAAAAAATACAGGAAAAACATTAATGTTGTGAAATATTTTTATACTTTAAAGGAACTGTTTTCTATTTGAACATGAACCTTCAGAATTCATTCTAATATGCTGATTAACTACTCAAGAAACATTTGCTATCAATGCTGAAACTTTTTGTTTCTTAATATTTTTGTGGAAACCGTGATACACTACCTTTCAAAATTTTATGGTAAGATTAAAAAAGAAAGAAAGAAAGAAATTAATACTTTTATTCAGCAAGGATGTATTAAATTGAACAAACATGACAGTAAAGACATATACTGTATAAAGTTACAAATAAATACTGTTCTTTTGAATTTAATTTGATCAAAGAATTCTAAAAAGATGCATCACAATTCCCACAAAAATAATAAGCAGCAAAAACAAAATCAGCATATTAGAATGATTTCTGAAGTATCACGTGACACTGACATTTTTAAATGTAGTCAAATGGAAAACGGTTATTTTAGATTGTAATAATATTTCACAATATTACTGTTTGTACTGAATTACTATTCATTATTATTTATTAATCAAATAAATGCAGCCTTGGTGAGCATAAGAGGCTTATTTCAAAATATTGAAACAAATATCTCGTCAACAAATTAGATGTATTTTATTTTTAAGGTTACCTCTGTTTTGTTTGTATCCAATTATCAGTTTTGTTTATTTTGTATAATTATTTTTATATAATTATCTTTTAGAATAACACTTTCTTGTAATCATGCTGATGTTGTGTAGTTATTGGAAGCCCAGCAAAAAAAAAAAAAAAACGTTATTATTGCTCCCGTCAAGTATGTGTCAGAATATCAGATCTGATTAGACTTTGCAGTGTAAATGCAGCCTGCTTTCTTGTCATTTTGTAGGAACAGGAGTCAAGCTCTCGGTTCAGAGAGCAGCCTTGATGAAGGAGGAGTGTTTGACTGTCTGAAGCCAGACTCTCCTACGTCGCCCCAGCAGCTCTTCTCTGGTCTGGTGGGCGTCTCTGCTGGGAACGTGTCCTCAGCTCCTTTCCAGGCTGCAGGGCTGGTTCTGGGTTCTCCACCGGATGTCTTCATCCAGATGGCGTCCTCATCGAGGGACGAAGGCTCTCACCGGACGGAGAACCCACCTTATCTCCCTCGCCCTCCTCAGCACCATCATCATCATCACTCCGGCCAGCACCGCTCTTCTCTCCTGCATGCGGCCACCTCTGCTGAGAGACACGGGAGTAGAGATGATGGAAGTAAGAGCTTCTCTGTTTCTTATTATCATCAACGCTCAAAACAGTGCCGCTGTTTAAAGGGGACATTGGATGCCCATTTTCCACAAGTTGTTATGATTCATTAGGGTCTTCATGAAATGTAACTTACTGGTTAAAATTCTTCAATGGTCGTGTAAAACAACACCCTTTTTAGCTTGTCAAAAGCTACCCGTTTCGGTGCATGTCTCTTTAAATGATAATGAGCTACTGCTCACCCAAAAATGTGAAAATTTCATCCGATGTCCCCTTTAATATTTTTGTGGAAACCGTGGTACATATTTTTCAGGATTCTTCATAAATGTCTTTACTGTCACTTTTGATCAATGTAATGCTAAATAAAAGTGTTAATTTATTAAAAAAAAAATTATATTATTTATATTTTTATATTTTCCGTTTTGTTGTGTGTTTTTGTCATTTTTAGTAGTTTTTGTTTTTATTTGTTTATATATTTTTGTATAGATTTTTATTTCACTTTTAGTTTTAGTTATTTCGGTACATCAAATTAAACTAAATTAAAATGAGAAATGTTGCCTTGGCAACTAGTTGGGGGAAAAAAAAAATATATATATACAGTATCTCACAGAAGTGAGTACACCCCTCACATTTTTGTAAATATTTGATCTAATTTCACATGAAAAGATATAATAAAATATTTACAAAAATGTGAGGGGTGTACTCACTTCTGTGAGAAAATATAGTATTATAATATAATATATTATTTCAGTTAACATTTATTTAAAAAAAAAAAGGTTTTTAATATGTTTTTGTAGGTTATTAATGCATTTTTAGATTTAAAAACCATCAAAAAAAAAAATGCATTAATAACCTACAGTGTGGATAAGACTTAATGTTGACATTTAAAATTGTTGTGAAAGCAGTGGTATTTATCTCAGTATTTGGCAATAAAGCCGTCTCCCATAACTGCCTGTTCCCAGGTGATGATGCCTCTACACCAGCTCCTGCTCTCTCTGAGCTCAAGGCCATGGTCACATGGCTTCAGAGGGGATTCCCTTTTATCCTCATTCTCCTCGCTAAAAACTGCTTTCAGCACAAGCTTGGTAGGTTAAATATATTATGAGCTGCCTTTGCTGTTGAAGGCATGGGTCAAAATCACAGCTGTTAACACTGAGATTGTTTTTCTCTGATATGCAATGTAAAGCCACTGGTGTTTTCATTATGTTGGAATGGATATTATAATGATGTTAATGTTCAATGTCTTTTCAGGTGATATGTGAAATACAAGGTGCTGATTCTCTCATGATTCTCTTTGTATTTCTCAGGAATTGCTATTTGCATTGGAATGATCAGCACATTTGCCTTTGCTAACTCAAAGCTGAAGCATCAGGTGGCATTGCGGGTGAGATTCTGTTCAGTTAATTGTTTTATACTATAATTATATTACTGACTCTTCCGGTTCCTGCATTCACCCTTATGCACTGGAGACATTTGCATTTGACCTCAAGAAAAAGGTCCATGTAATACCCATGTACTACCGTTTAAACATTTAGAGTGGGTTAAGATTATTTTAGTGTTCTTAAAAGAAGTCTCTTATGCGCAACTGAGACTAAATTTATTTGATCAAAAAATACAGTAAAAGCAGTAATATTATGAAATATTATTACAATTTAATATATGTTTTATATTTGAAAATATTTTAAAATGTGATGCAAAGCTGAATTTTCAGCATCATTACTCCAGTCTTCTATCGTATGATCCTTCAGAAATCATTATGCTGATTTGCTGCTAAAAAAAAACATTTCTTATTATTATCAATGTTATCCTTCAGAAATCATTCTAATATCTGCTGATTTGGTCCTCAAAAACCATTGAAACTGTGATTTTCTTTCTTTTCTTTTCAGGCTTCTTTGATGAATAGAAAGTTCAAAAGAACAGCATTTATTTGAAATGGAAATCTTTTGATCAGTTTATTATGTCCTTGCTGAATAATATTAATTTCTTTAAAAAAAATCTTACTGACTTCAAACTGTATAATTTCATAAGGAGCGATTGTTCTGTTGAGTACATGCTGTATGTGTCTCATTGTGCATGGATGTATTTTCAGGAGGAGAGGTCTGTGTTTACCACCCTCTGGATTATGATCTTTCTCGCTGGCAACATTGTGTATGTGTATTACACATTCAGTGCAGAGGAACTTCACAACAGGTACTGTACTGTTCATTCGTTTCAATCACCATCATAACTGATTATATGTGTCAAACATTCATCTGTTTTTATGTTATCTTGGATGTTCTAAGGACATTGTTGTTGTTTTTGCCTTATTCATTTGAAAAAAATTCATTTACTCCATGTTTTCATTTTGCAGAGTGATCTCTCATTGTATGTTTGTGTTTATTAGCATTTGTGAGTATTTAGTTTCCCATCACTTTTCATTATTCACATTTGAATCATCTCTTAAATTAAAGCATTCACTGGTTTTCATTTTTAGTTTTTTTTTGTTTGTTATTATTTCATATACACTGCCGTTCAAAAGTTTGAGGTTGGACGCTTTTTTAGATGTTTTTGAAATAAATTTCTTATGCTCACCAAGGCTGCATTTATTTGATCAAAATACAGTAAAACAGTAACATTGTGAAATATTACTACAATTTAAAATTACCGTTTTCTATTTCAATATGATTTTAAAAAAGCTGAATTTCAGCATCATTACTCCAGTCTTCAGTGTCACATGATCCTTCAGAATTCATTCTAATATGCTGATTTGCAGCTCAGGAAACATTTATTTTTTGTATTGATTTCTTTCAAAATAAACTTTTGAACAGTAATGTATCGTAAATAGATACTGTAAATGTATATAATATTCTATCATTTGTATTTAAAATTCTATCATTAAATACAAATTATAGAATATTATATACATTTATAATATAAAATTATATCATTTGTATTTAAATTATATTATTATAAATGACTATGATAGAATAAATATAAAAAATAATATATATATATTTTCCTCCCAGCCTTATTTTTACGAAGCCAAACATCAACAGTTATGATTTCTTTGACCTGATCTGGGCTGTTGGAATAACAGATTTTGTGCTGAAATATTTCACCATCGAGCTTAAATGCCTCATTCTGTTCCTGCCTAAAATGATCCTCGCTTTCAAGTCCAGGGTAAGATGACAACTTTCCATGTTTTACATTAATACTACTTTAGTGTACCGTGTCAGAAAGTACAGTCCTACGGTAAATATCACTTGCATATTGGTCAATCGATATATAATTTTTACACTGAAAAAAAAAAAAAAAATTGGTGTAAGATTTACTGTGAAATAATTTTTACTTAGAAATTGCTAGTAAATTTCACAAATAATTACTGAAGAAGGTAACGAATTAAACATGAAATTTAGACTGAAATAATACTTTAGTCTAAAACATGCTTAAATTTAATTTTTGTTTTATTTACAACTTTGAAGAATAATTTTCTACAGTGTACTATCTGATGCTCATAATGATATTTAGAGAAGTGGCTGATATATATTTTAATCTTTCCACAATAGTCTTGTGGTAAAATGCAGAAATGGTTTGTTGAGTATTAACAGAAACAGAACATATTCATGTCAGTTCTCTTTGATGAATGTTTGATTCTTCTGTATGTTTGTAATGCATTCCTTTTTATGGTCTAATGGGCTTAAAATCAATCGTGAGTCAAATAACAGGGTATCCGCGGGGTCTTAAAAAGTCTTAAATGTAGTTGTATCAAATCCAAGGCCTTAAAAAGTCTTAAATTGTTCAAGAAAGTCTTAATTATGATTTCAAGAGGTCTTAAATTTGGGGACGGAAAGACCAGAATTGCGATATAACTGAATGTGACGATTAAACTTCAAAAGGCTAACGTTATGATTTCATTGAATAAACACGAGCGCTGCACATTCAAAGTCTGGTGCTGCGCTGCTTTGTGTTTTGCTGTTACCGGGGAAACAGTTATATTTCTACCAAACGCTCCACCTGCTGGCAGAGAATGAATGAGCATTTTCAATAAAGCTGTTGTTTAAGAAGGCAATGCATTATAAAAATGTAAACATAGGGGTGTGTGATATGTAGATCTGTGAAAATATCGTAATTGTTGTTTTAACGATGTGCGACTTGCGTTTTAGACACCATTCCCTGTTTTTGGAAAATTCTCTATTTCTCCAACAAAAATCATTTCAAACACAGCCACAGCGCTGTTTTGCGTCTCTGAGGAACAGGACGCTGTTTTGTTCCTGAATGAATCAAGCGTTTAAATGATTCGGTTCAAGCGCAATGACTCACTTATTAACAGTGACTTGCTGCCACCTACTGGCGGTTTTAGTTTCACATATTGATAAAATCCCAGAATATTATAGAGATATCATTTTTTGTCAATATCGCAGACCCCTAATTTGTTATTTAATTTATATAATAATTTATTGATAATAATTGTTTAAATTAATATAATAATTCATACTTTAAAACTGCTTGATTCAAACATGCAGGTTCAATCTAACTGTATTGGATCCCGCAGTCTCCATGTTTTAAAGGGATCATATGATGCTATTTTAAAGATCATTATTTGGTGTATTTGGTGTAACAGAATATGTTGACA